ATTTCCTGACCTGGTAATCTTTGAGTAAATGGAACTACATGTTTACTGAATTTTACTGACCTTTACTGACCTTTGATACTATCTGCTTACTGCGTGCTCTACCTCTGTGCTTTGCTAAGGGCAAATGTGTAACCAAGTTGAATAAAAACAGGCAAGACAAGGGCTCGTGGTTCCTCTTTGCAAGAGAGGTTCCACCTGGCCCCCATGCTTGAAGCTGATTTCTTGTGTAGTGTCTTCATTGTGTGTCAGCCCTCCTACAGGTCCTCCTGAACCCACCGTGCAGGTCGCGGCACCTTGGCTAAGAGCATAGGCCCTGGAACTTGGAGGCATGGGTTGGTGTCTGAACTCGGCTATGTCCCAGTTGTATGGTCTTGGGCAAGAGACTACCTCTTCGTGCCTCATTTTTCCTGTGGAGATAATTATAATGGTTACCTCCTGGTGTGAAGACGAAAGAAGTCAAAATACATAAAGTACTTAGCAGAGTGCCAAGCACACAGGAATGCTAACTGTCAGTTCTTACGATAGTATATAGCAGCGCTTCTCAATCTTGCTCTCTGGACCCCTTTACGTTCTTAAAAATTATCAAGGACCCCCAAAGAACTTTTATGTGGATTATAGCTATTGATATTTCCCATATTAGAACTTAAAATGAGAATTTCTAAAATGTTTATTTGTTCATTAAAAAATAACTAATTGGCCCTAGCCAGTTTAGCTCAGTGGATAGAGTGTTGGCCTGCAGACCAGAGGGTCCCGGATTCGATTCCGGTCAAGGGCACGTACCTCGGTTATAGGCTCCTCCCCAGTCTGGGCCCTGGTTGGGGCTCATGAAGGAGGCAACCAATCAATGTGTTTCTCTCACATCAATATTTCTCTCTGTCTTTCCCTCTCTCTTCCACTCTCCCTAAAAATCAATGGAAAAATATCCTCGGGTGAGGATTTAAAAAATAAATAACTAACTAATTGCTCAGCCAGTTTGGCTCAGCAATTGACTGTCGACCTATGTACTAGGAGGTCACGGTTCAATTCCCAGTCAGGGCACATGCCCGGATTATGGGCTTCATCCCCAGTGGGGAACGTGCAGGAGGCAGCTGATCAATGATTCTCTCTCATCATTGATGTTTCTATCTCGCTCTTTCCCTTCCTCTCTGAAATCAATAAAAATAAACATTTTTAAAAATAACTAATCCATTATGTGCTAAGATAAATAAAATCTTTTTTCAAAAAGTCAATTTAGAGAGAAGAGTGGAATTGGTTTACATGTTTACAAATTTTTTGAAATGTCTGACAGTAGAATACACCTGGATTCTCTTATGTGCTTCTGCATTTAATTAACAGATTTAATTTGGGTTGAAGTAGATGAAGGAAACCTGGCCTCACACAGCTATGTAGTTAGTAAAGTGGAGACCTTGTAGATCCCCTAAAATGGTCTTAGGATCCTAGGGGTCTTCAGAGCAACATTGAGAAGTGCTGGTGTATATAAAGCATGAGAGCCAGCATTCTACAGCTGTTCAACTGTCTGGATATAAACCTCAAATGTGTGGGAAAATCACCTAACCTCTGTGCCTCAGTTTCCTCCTAGAGAGTTGCTTCCTGCGGAGTGGTTAAAGTAGTGCTTGGCACATAGTAAGTGCTCAGTAAACACTCACTGTTATGATTATTAGTTCTGAGTCTGGCATTAGTAAGGGCTCCCTTTCCTTCCTAGGCCAGGCATCCCTTTCGAGATAATGTTCAGCCACTCTAGAATGGGCTGGGTTCCGCGCTCCCCAGAGCTGCCCTGAGACCCTGTGCATCTCCCAAGGGCGACTGGGCTGAGCCCAGCACGTGCCCTGTGCCGTCTCTCTGGCCACAGGCCCAAAGCAGCTGTGCCCAGGTGTGCCTGCCGGCCTCTGGCACCTCAGCTGGGTGTACCTGTGTCGCTACTGGGACGCTGTCCTCCCCAGCAGCTGGTGATTAGGAAGTCACTCCTCATAATGGCCGAAGCCTAATCAACATGCCAATAATTACCAGGCCCAGAACGTGGCCGCGATTCAGGAAAGCTGATCCCCAAAGATAAGAGTCACTTAAATTCTGGCATTGACCACGGGTCCCCTTGGTAACCCGTAACTCTCAGCACGATTTCACCGCTCAGCTAATTGATGTTCTCCAAGGCAGTCAGCTCATACTGGCCAATCGAAATGGGCTCTAATTGCCAACATCCTTCAGGTAAGAAGCCCCACATGTTCTCATGCCACCCAAGAGGCCGGAGCAGGAACTGAGTCTCTCAGTAAACCAGTCCTCTGATTGCAGTTAATTAATCAATATAAGGTTTGTAGAAAGGATTAAAGAACCTATTAGAGGAAGTCATGGTATTGGGATGTTTTATAGCAAAGTTTTGCTGAATTCATGAGAAGCTCCTTGAAGAAATGTTCCCCAGCTCTTTAAAGCTGCCTGAGTCAGGAACAGCACGGGTAGAGGAGAGACCCCTGGACTTGGGGTCGTACAGAACCAGGGTGAGCCCAGTGGCGCTATCCGTGCAAGACATGCGGCTTAGGCAAGTCTCTTTACCTCCCTGAGCTACAAAGTGGGGGTACCATTGGTGGGTAGAGAATGCCTTGCATAGAACCCAGCCCATAGTAGGTTCTAAATGGCAGAGCTGAAAACCGGTGCCTGAAGAGAACTGTTTGGTGTCCTCTGAAGGGTTTTAAAAGGCAATTGGGTAGATGTTATACTTGGTTGCAACATAAGCTGTCAGCTCTGTGGCCCTCTTTGGGGCCAGCTTCACAGGTTTGTAGTGACTGCATTGCGACCTACAACATTTGGATTTGCCACACCACCTTCCTTTCGGGCCCAGGAATCAGGCAGACCTGGTGGCAAATCTCAGCTCCACCTTTGCTCACTTGTGTGGCCTTCATTCACACACTCAACATGGTTTACTGTCCTCAATGCTGGAGCACAGAGTTTGGTGAAGGAGGAACCATTTATGAAAAAATCGCCCAAGAAGACTGTGGCAGATGCTGCTGGTACCTCACCCTATCCCCTCAGTTCTCACCTTTGTGGTACACACAATGTTTTCCTGAGATTCTTCACCTAAGGACCTTCTTGTGGTCAGGACACAGGGCAAGCTGGAGGTGCCAGGGAGTTAACATCCTCAAGAGCAGCCCTCAACTCCTGATCAGTTGTCCCTGTGGAGGGGGACAACTCTGAGTCCTGTTCTACTAGTACGGTTTCCCAAGAAAAACCTGCTCTCTAATGCATGCCCATTCACTTCCTTCCCTCCCTCCTTCCCTCCCTCCTTCCTTCCCTCCAGACCAGTGCTTCCTGGGATCACCCTCCAAGTAAACTACTTGCACTCAAATCCTATCTCAGGGTCTGGTGCTCCGGGAACCCAACCTAAGACAGATACAATGACAAACTGTGATAGCTGCAAGGAAGGAGTGGGATGCAGTGCCACATGCCACAATGTGGTCTGAAGTGACAACTAAGGAGGAGGAGGAGGCCAGGAGCAGGGTGGTAGCAGAGGAGCTGAAAGTAAATGGGTAGATTTGAGACATATCTAGGACACGGTAATAGTTAGATGATAGGGCATTAGAGCCATCCAAACAACCCCCAAGTTTCAGACTCATGTGCTTAGAAAAGTCACTTTACTTCTTTCTTAGTTACCGTGTCTCTAAACAGGGGTGACTATGATGGACAATTCATTCATTCATTTACATATCACCTGCAAAATGCATTTCCTAATGTCTGGCCCCAGAGGAAATGTTTGGGACACATTTATTTTTCTTTTATCTTCCAAAGCTCAAACAAAGTGCCCCTTTCCCCAGGAAGGCCTGGTTTGAGTCCCCAATCATAGCTTTTGTCTTCATTTTGCCTGCCAGGTGACACAGACTGTTGATTCCTGCCACAGAACTATGTTGATTACAAACCTAAACCAGACCAGCTCTCTCACCAAACCAGGCAAACTCAAGGCAGGTCCTGAGGTGGCCTCCAAGACCTATAGCTCCACCTCAGCCAGCTTTGTGTCTTCCAGAATGCCCTTCCTCTTTTCTAGGCCTCAGTTTCCCCGGGTGTCAAATGGGCTCCAGAGTCCCTGTTCACCTCCCAAGCTTGTTCTGAGGTGGGGGCAGTGGAGAAGACTTTTCATGCCCCCAGGGTCCCAGATTCCCTTTTCAGCCGAACTGGGGAGCTCTTAGTCCAGTCCCCTCTCAATGCTGAAAAGAGAAACCCCACATCAGCCGAGACAGAACCGCAACCACAGAGCTCCATGATTATCTAGATGTGTTTTATTTTCATTAGGAGGATTATCATTGACAAGGAGAAGGTGTCTAGCAGGTTATATACAAGCCGCAACATCCAGGATGATGTTTACATATTCCCACATACACGTTTATCCACAACTTCCAGGGCAATGTTTACATACTCCCACACACATTCACTCTGCAGCTACCGCACAACACAGCACCACAGGGGTTCTCCACCTAAAATGCTTCCCCCAAGCAGAACACAGCTGTGGGTCAGGTGCCGCCACCCACCCACCCACACAAACAAAAAATACCACCCAAGAAAACCAAGAAGGGAAGGAGACCCTGGATTCTGGGGGCAAAGTTTACATGTGGTAACTCCTGACACACGGGGTGGGGGATAGAAGCTAGATTTGGACATCACCACTTCAACTGCACCCCACCCTCACTGGCTGCTTGCCCAGAGGCACTCTGCCCCTCTCTGGGAATACCTTAGAAGATACAGATCGGTCATCTTAGCCAGGACTAAGGCAGGGGAGCCGGCCTTCGGGGTAGGCGAGGATCCCTGGGATCTGCCCCCTTGCCAGTGATACAAAATCAAGTAATATGGGGTTTTAGCTTATAGGATGGCCTTTTCATGTCCCTGAAGGAGGGAGGCAAGCAAAGCCAGGGGTTTGGGTGTGTGCATAGAGGGGGGGGCTCAGGTTTATTATTAGGGATCTAAGGAGAAGGGGAAGAGGGGTCACAGAAGGATAGGGTGCACAGGACTCAAGATATTCTTAGACCCCAAACTCGACTTCACAGGAAACTGGGCTCACTCCTCCAGGGGCTCCCTGGCCCAGGCCGCCCGCCGTCCAGGGTGCTGTCGCTTCTCCTCAGGCCTCTGGCCCCTGCTCAGGTCATCCAGGAGCCCCAGCAGGAGGCTGGCTTGACCACAGTCTCCCTGGAGCCCACACGGGCCTCCCAAGGCTCTCTTGCCCGGATGCTGGCGTTTCTCAGGCATCAGCTCTCCCTCCTCCTCCTCTTCTTCCTCCTCCTCTTCCCAGCTCCTTTGGGCCTTGGGGTCCACCAGCCGTCTGCCAGGGTGCTGCCTCTTGGTGAAAGTATACCCCAGCCAGAAGGAGCGCCGGCCAGGGTGCTGCCGCTTCTGCGGGGTCACATCCACTGACCACGCAGCTGCGTTCTCCCACGGGCCTGGATGCTGCCTTTTGTGGGGCCCCACAGCCCCTCCTTCTTCTTCCTCGTCTTCAACTCCCTCTTCTGCCTCCTCCTCCCTTTTGCCTGGATGCTGACGCTTAGAGAGCCCATTGGACTGAAAGATCTGGGACTCTGTGGAAGGAAAGAGCTAGTGAGGGATCCCCTGACCCTTGAGTGCCTACTCTAGCCTTCCTCCAATCAAGGTAGAAATTCCTGCCGCACTCACCCAGGCCTCACCGACACATACACTCACACAGATGGTCAAAGGCATGACTTCTGGTTCCAGTCCCAACTCTGCCACTCCCTAAATGTGTGACCATAAGCAACTCACTTACCTTCTCTGAGCCTCAGTTTTCTTTTGTGTAAAATGAGGGGTAATAACAGTTCCTATCTAAGAGGTTGTTAGGAAGATCAAATAGTGTGGCAAAGTATTTGAAGTGCTTAGAACAGTGAGTGCCTGGCATAACATAAGTAGTAAACACTCAGACTCTTTCTTCCCAGCATAGAATCTTCCCCACTGTGGGCATGCTTTCTGGGACATATTCCCAGGACAGAGATGCAAGAGGAATCTGGTCCCAGGAAAGGGTCAACTCACGACCGGCCGAGGGTGCGGCCAATGAGAGTTTCTGAGCAACAGGCTGGATGATCAAGTCGCTCTCTCTCCTCTGCTCCGCGTTTCCCCTCAGCCCTCTCCTCAGCCTCATCTCGCCTGGGCAGCCCGGGTCAGACCCGCCTCTCACCTGATTCGCGATTTCCCTGGTCCCCTTGCAGCCGCTGGAGGTCCTCCCGGAGGAGGAGAAGGTGCCCCGCCTGGCGCAGGAGGTCCCTCAGGGCAGGGTGCTCTGCAGCCATCGCAGCCTCCTGCTGGTCCACCTCGAGCTGTGCGCGGCCTCCGGGGACACCGGTCAGGGTCAGGGTCAAAGCCAGGGCGAGCAGCAACCAAGGGCCAGGCATCGTGGCGGCTGGAGTCAGGAGGACAGAGAGAGAGCATAAGCGCGCTGCGCCCCCTCCCAGGGAGCTGCACCTCCTCCTTTGCTGTCCCAGCGGGTCCCCGAGGCCGGAGTAGCGAACCGGGGGCCGGGGGAGGATCTGCCTGAGCCCCAGGTGTCCTCACCTACAGAGCTGCTCCGAGCGCCTGCCCACGCCCAGTCCTGCCCGCGAGGCCGTGGGAACCCCGCCGCGGCCGCCGCTCAGCGTTCGGCGGAGCCGGGGCAGCCTGCGCCCGGGCGCACGCGGCAGAAGTGTAACCAAGGCTACGGCGTCGGCCCGACGGCCAGGATGCTCGCTGCCCCCGCGCAGGCTGATTCCCCCGAAGTTCCCAGAGCCACGTTCAATGCCCACATTCCGCCAGCGTTCTCGTTCCCTATTTCTAATGATAAAAGGCTTCTATGACTAAGCTAAGGAATCAATTCTGGCCCTAAGATGCCCATTTCAACGTGAATCCCAGCGCTAACACTCTATTCTAGCGCCGAGACTGAGACGCTAAGGCTACCAGAGTCCAACGCGAACACTCAGTTTCTAACGTCGGGCTTCGGTTCTCACTCCCAGGCGCTCCCGCGACGCCCCGCCGGCCTCGTTGCGCCGGGACCTGCTGCTGGCGGCCCGGCAGGGTGGGGTGGCGAGTCTTCCCTGCGACGCCCAGATGCAGGGACCTGAGTGCACAGGGGTGACCCCGCCAGGTGCCCGCGCCGTGGAAGATGGGGTACGAACGCAGCGCCCCACCTGAGCACAGATGCGGCGGCTTCTCCCGGGGCGCCCTGGAGGGCGGGAGGAAAGGGCCCGCTGTCCCGGACGCCGCCTGCGAGAGGAGAGGGACGGAGGTGGTTACCTGTCCGGCGCGAGCTCCGCGGGACCGGTCCGGGATCCTGGGGCTTCGAGTCCGGAGTTTCGGGGTCTAGAGGCGGTGGGTCAGGAGTCCCGGTCACCGGCGCCCGCTGCTCCGCGGGACCCGCGCTTATATCCGCGCGAGGCAGCGGCGCTGGTGAGGTCAGCGGGGAGGGGTCGCGGCCACCGGGAAGGGGCGCTGACGGCAGCGGGCCCCGCGGGTACCCCGCCCTCCCGCACGCCTGCGAGCTCAGCCGGAAATCTGGGGCGGGGGCAGCGGGCGGGAGGGAGAGTGAGCTGACACACGCCGCAGGATGGGCTGCTGGTGCGGGGTCATTTCTGCACCCAGCTCTGAAGGCCGGTTGTCTAAGTAGGGGACAAAGACACACAGAGACACGGGGAATCACACACAAAAGGACACATGGGAGAGAATAGGAGATAGAGACAAAGACAGAGATGCATCTAGAACCAGAGAGATACACACCACACACATCAGAGAGACAGAAAGACAGAGACAGAGACAAAGAGGGAGAAAAGGAGGAAAAAGGGGGTAGAGTGAGAGGGGGAGAAATTAGGGGACAAGTGGGATCTGGGCTTTGATCTCAATAGTCACCTCTGGCAAATGCCTCCCCCTCTCTGGGCCTCAATTTTCTCCTCTGTATAGTGAGGAAGGGGACAGTTTTCAGAACGCCAAAGCTGGTAGTGTGTGGGCCACCACCAGTTTACAGACTGTTTTGTGTGATTCCCACAGGTGGTATTTTTAAACCTGAATAACCAACATTTAAAAATCAGGAGAACTTAGGTAAAATGTGGATTTATGACTTCTCTTGAAAATCTCTTGGAAAAGAGGGGACCTTGCTTGGCCAGTGTGGCTCTGTGGTTGAACATTGACCTATAAACCAGGAGGTCGTGGTTAGATTCCTGGTCAGGGCACATGCCCTGGTTGCGGTTGTGGTCTCGATCCCAGTGTGGGGCATGCAGGAGGCAGCCAATCAATGATTCCCATCATTGATGTTTCTCTTTCTCTCCCTCTCCCTTCCTCTCTGAAATCAATAAAAATATATTAAAAAAAAAAAAAAGAGTGGACCTACACTTCCTCCTAACAACAGCCAGCTGGAGTTGAGCCCGGCTGACCCTGGTCACCATACTCTCCACCACTCCCTACTGTCTCCCAATGTGTTGCCCCAGTCACCAGGAAGGGACACTGGAGTTGGTGGTGGACTCAGGACCACAAATCTGTTGGGGTTCACTCTACCCAAGCAAAAGAGGGGAGGGAATGTTGGGAGGAGAAAAGCACAGATGCCAAGGAGCTTGTCCCCCAATCACTCCCCAAAGTCACATGATACCTTGGAAGAGAACCCTGCTACATCCAGCCCTGGGCACAGCCTCCAGCCTGAAGCATTTAATGGCTCCCTCGTTGGCTTTGGAGACACAGGAGTTAGCCAGGCCCATGTAGAGTGAACCACATTTTTGACAGAACAATGTCTGTGAAGGTATCTCCTACCTCTGAGCAATCTTAACATTATTCTGCCTCCATATCCATATTTCTTCAGCCTAATACGTGTATGCCCAGACCATGCTAGTGGTCTGGCAAGGAATTCCACAAGTATTGAACTATTATTCTTTCTCTTGGTAGAGCACCCAACCTTCCTAGCACATCCACCACCTCACTGCATCCTCACATCACCTGGCAAGATTAACAAGGTAAAGACTATTAGTCCCACTTTACAGAGAGGCACACAGAGACCTGGGGAGGCAGAAGAACTTCGAAGGGTAGAGATGGAAGGGAATTTCCAGGTGACCAGCTAAAAGGTCCTCTCCTCATTTTTAGATGAAGAAACTGAGGCCTGGAGAGATGGCCTGATCGGCTTCCCAACTCCCCGGCATACTTTGTGCCCCCAAGTTCAGATGATTGGCTGGGGCAGATTGCAAACCTGCAATCCCAGGCTTGCTCTTCCACTCAGATTCCAGAATGTGAAGAATTGCCAACCTAGCTAAGCATTTAATCAGACAGACCTGTTATTTTTTGCGCATACAATGGTGGAGGTGTAAATTGATACAACCTCTTTGGGTGGCAACCTGGAAATTTAACACATACGTACCCTCCACAAGACAATTCCATTTCTCAGAATTCATCCTATAGATACCCACACCTACGCATGAGGATGTGTACACAGGGAATTCTGTGCAGCTTGGTTTATTGAAGCCAGAACTGGAGGCCAGCCTGGCCGATGTGGCTTAGTGGTTGAGTGTGGACCCATGAACCAAGAGGTCACAGGTTCGATTCTGAGTCAGGGCACATGTCCAGGTTTCTGGCTCGATCACCAGTAGGGGGCATGCAGAAGGCAGACGATTGATGTTTCTCTCTCATACATGTTTCCATCTCTCTATCCTTCTCCCTTCCTCTATAAAATTAATAAAAACTTTTAAAAAAAAAAAAGCCAGAATTGGAAATAGCCTGGATATCTGTCCACCAGGAGGCGCCTGCTTGAATCAACTAGGTTCCATGTAAAACTATGAGGTACTATTGCAGCTTCAGAAGAATGAGGCGTCTCCATATGGACAGATATGGAACAAGCTCCAGGAAAAAGTGAAAAAAAGCAGAGTGGACAACAATGTGTACATCATGTACACCTGTGTGGTGGCCTGGGAGACGGACTGGTAATGGGTACACAAGCACAGTACCAAAGGAGAACTGGGGAGCCCAGACAGGGGAAGATAGTGCGAGGGGGCTCGCTTAGCGCTGTTTGATTTTTTTTGTCTGTGCAGCCTTACCTAACCACAAACCAACAAACAGCACCAATAAATAAATAAATAAATAAATAAATAAATAAATAAATAAAATCTCTGAGTTTGAGGCTCAGGAGTGATAAGAGTGGATGGATAGAAAAGGGTGAGGTAGCTGGAACATCACCTCCTGGTGCACCCATTTGATGCATTTCTATAATCAGGGATTTGAGTTGCCTGTTAGGAGGAGAGTTGCTAGACAGATTGGGCGGGGGGTGCGAATGGGAGGAGGAAATGGAGTTCCCAGATAGCTCAAGGGACCAGAGAGGATGATAGAGGTATCTGAAGTGTGCTCAGCAAGCCAACTCTCCCTCCCTCCTTCCTCTCTTTTTCCCTTTCTTCCTTCCTTCTTTCCCTGACAAATATTCACTGAACTCCTAGTAAGTAACAGGACCTGCTCTAGACCGTGAGCACTGTATTAACCATGTCTTTCTGATACTTTGACCTTTGGGGTCTTGCTGACTCTGGAGAGACTGCCAACTCCCAGAGTTAGCCAATTCCTAGAGGTAAGTAAGGAACTCATATGCAAACAAACCAATTTAGAGCCCACACCCCTACCACTCTCTAGGCTACTATCTTCTTGCCCTAATCACCCAGGGCCAGGTATCAGGCAACTAGGGACAGCGCCTATGCCCCCGAGCTCACTGAAATTATTGAAACTAGATGATCTGGAACCTTCTGACCTCTCCTGGCCTGTTCCTTCCTGTAGAAACCACAGTAAGGCTCTTGCCCATCTTTCCCCCCACGCCCTGCTCCCTCTGCCTCCTGATGGACCTTGGTGCTGCCCCATGTGACCCTGCATGGTGTGGTTTGCCCCCTCCTCTTAGGAACTGTGAGTAATAAACTACCTTTCCAATAATAGTAATCTCCTGATCAATTGGCCTCATCATGCCTAAATAATTATAAAACCCACACTTAAAACAGGGAGCTGAGCCCTGGCCAGGTGGCTCAGTTGATTGGAGAGTTGTCCCATACACCAAAAAGGTGCAGGTTCCATTCCCAGTCAGGGCACATACCTAAGTTGCAGGTTCGATCCCCAGTCGGGGCAGAGCACATACGGGAGGCAACTGTATAGATATTTTTCTTTCACATCAATATTTCTCTCTCTCTCTAAAAAAAAAAAAAATTCAATAAAAACATATCCTCAGGTAAAGATTAAAAACAAAACAGGGAGCTGAGAGTTCAGTCATTATGTTGCATATTTTTTTTAACTTTTTCCCTCTGACAATACAAATGTGTTTGTACTTTAGTTGCTTATCAGATTAATACTGTTATGCTTTTGAAAATGAATAATGGGATAGTTTAATGGTGAGTTTGTGCACTAATTTCTAACTTCCAGTTCCCTTCCCCACTGCAACACACACACACACACACACACACACACACACACACACACACACCTTCCTGCCCGAGGTCTGTTAAGTTACTGGGTGGACTCTGATGTTCCAGACCCAGTCTCCCCTAAGTTCTCTCTCAAAGCCCCTATGCTTCCTGTTCTTTGTCAACCCTGAGCTACCGAAGGGCCTGAAGCAGACCCTCCCAGGTTACCTTTAAATTTTTTTTAATATGTTTTTGTTGATTTTAGAGAGAGACGAAGGGAGGCGGAGGTAGAGAGAGAGAGAAACATTGACGTGAGAGAGAAACATTGATAGGCCACCTCCAACATGCACCCCTACCTGGGACGAACCTGAAACCCAGGCATTTGCACATGCCCTGACTGGATGGAACCAGAAACACCACCCCCTTCTCCCTACTTACCAATCCCCCTCCTCATCCCTCCTCCCCCTCCTCCTCCTCCCCCACCGCACCCCGCACAGGATGACACCCAAACAACTGAGCCACACTGTCAGACACCTCTTTTTTTATGGTATTTTTTAAATTAAAAATTTTGAGATCATTATAGAGTCACATGCAATTGTAAGAAGTAAGACAAAGAGATTATGGGTACTTTTCTCCCAGCTTCTCCTAATGGTTACATCTTGAAAAACTATATAGTACAATATCACAACCAGGATATTGACAATGATACAATCCTCTGACCTTTTGCCCATTACTCCAATTTTACTTGTACTCTTTTGTGTGTGTGTGTGTGTGTGTGTGTGTGCGCACACTCACATGAGAGCAGTTTGTTCTATGCAACTTTATGATGTGTAGGTTTGTGTATATATGACATGGTGGCTTTTTAATTACAAGAAATGGTACCTTTTATATACTCAGTTCTTTCCTTTATAGCCTGCTGTTATTGTCCAAAAATGAAGGTCTTCTTTTCTCCAAGATCATAAAACTATCTCAGGAATTCAGGGA